CAAATTACATGTCAGTATGGGTAATGGCTCGGAGTCTTTCATTCCATGAGCAGAGCTCTGTTTACATGCAAAATGAATGACACTGGTATGGCACCAAACAGCTGCGACAGGGCAGGTTAGAAGCGATCATCAGCTACTGCAGGCGAGGACGGCAGATCAGTGCTACGCAGCCTAAACCATTAGGTATCCGCACAGGGAAATTTTGGTTTCGTAACTCTCTGATTAATCCTCCTGTGTGGAAATATAAAGAAATACCTCCCAGCATATCCTGTTCTCAATAGTCACAAACATTTCAGAGCAGAAGCAGACCGTGAGACATGTAAAGAAATTGGAAAAAAATTACTTGTAGATTCAAGAGGGTGATTTGGTTTTGTTTTCTCTTTTTTTTTCACTAAAACCACTTAAATGTTTTATGTCCTCCAGCAGTGCTCTATCCTGTCTTCCCAGGGAACATATACCTTTATCTAGACATACAGCATGTACACACATACTATCTTCAGAACAAACCTTAACATTGCAACCTGCTGCTCTCGAGGCATTTATCCAAGATAAGTAATCATTCCCGGAAACCTGTTAAGTTAGACCCCATGCTCTCCATTGAAGCCCTCTAAAATCAGGCTTATGAGCCTGAGGGAGCCTCAGTTTTCATATGCAAATATACAAAAAAAAAAGTAAAAGCCATTTCTAAAATAGTTCTTTTCCCTGTACCCTAGGACAGATAAGATGACCCATGATGCGGAATCAACACTGCTTTTCTTGGCCCTCTCTCTGGGATGCCCTGCATACTTCAATTCTGAAGGGAAATGAGGGGTTTAAAGAAGACCAGGTAGCCTCATATTAATGACCACAAAAACCATCTTTTTCAATCTGTAAGCAGTGTAACAAATCGCAGATCAGGCTGGCACCAAGGCATCCATTGAACGTTCTCGCTTGGGCACACGCACAGCATACAGCTGTGACTATGTGACACTGGGATAAGCGTCTGCAGGACTTCCCTCCATACGATCTCCAGTCACTGCTTAATCTCCTACTGCTGCACAGAATTGACCTCAGTGACCAAGCCCTGCAGCAAGTGGTAAGAAGTTGTTCTTTATGTATACAATTGTGATATTTTCATCCCACATACAACAGTGCAGAAACTATGAAAGTCTATTTAAAACAACAGGGATATGTTCCCAGGTGTCACATGAACCCAGACAATCTGTAAACAAGCCCCTGCAGCAATCTTGAAGCAAAACATAACCATTATCACCATAAGGTACAGGGACTGAAAAACTGGTTCTCTGTGGGATTTTGGGCTAAAATTGTCTAGGCTCCAAAATCTGTTTGCTTTGCTTTCAAGACTTCTTTTACTGTGCAAAGCATGCAAGAGTCACCATGCAGATAGCTGAAAAACAGGGCATTTGAAAGAAGGAAGAACCAGTGGGCCTTCCTCAATGTAATCTACCAACCATGTAGTCCTTCACTTAGAAGTGCTGGCCTTCTTTTTAGACACCTCAGGTTTGGAGCTCTGCATTACAGAGGCTGGAAACACACTTTGGTTAGTTTCCCAAGGTTTTTTAAATGGGTATCTTTCAGAGAAAGGAGCTGCTTGGAAGCACCCTGAAACTTTGGCAATGCAGCAGCCTGTCCAGCAGGCCTGGCAGCCCAATCCTGCATGCCCAGGTCTTGGATTGGCCTGGATACTTGGAAGTGATTTACAAAGCAGCTTAATAGCTTGCATTTATCTTTGCCATATTTCACCACTGCTTTCCCTTTGAAGCCACTGTGCAGCCTTGGACAGTCCCTCCCTTGAGAAAGAAAGCCAATTCTCCCTTCAGCAGCACAGCACATCCTCCACAGGCCAGCGGAACAAGAAAGCATCTGTGACGTGCAGATTTCTGAGCCAGGAGAAGCCAAGACATGCAGCCTCTAGATTTATGGATTAGACATGCTGCCATGGCATACAAATCACTCTGCGCACAGTGCAATTCATTATCACATTGCTATGGCTGGTCACATTCTTCACAGGTGCAAATGATGCCAAAAAGGCTTTTTACCTTTCTTGTGCCAAGACTTAATGATGCAGTGTCAGGACCCCTCCTGCCTCCTAGGGGAAGTTAAACCAAAGGCAGCAGTTGTTCTGTCTTTTTGGGCACGCTGAGCCCCGATGGTTTTCCAGCACCCCATGGCAGTGCTGACAGGCAGGCAGCTAAGCAGTCACAGGACTGGGATCGTGCCTGCTCCCAGCCCAGCCTCTCCCAGAAACTGAGCCTGTAGCACTGTCAGTACCTGCCCACCTGCACCAGCAACATCCTCTAACCCAGGTAAAATCAGCTGAAAACCTGCAGGCAAAACCAGGGATTCATTTGGGCACACTAGCACACTTTGCAGAAGGGAAGAGTGGGTTGAGCTACTTCCTCACGCATCTGCATCTTGATTCTGGGAAAAGGACACTGGGGAAGAGCAAGCCAGAAAACAGGCTTTATATTCCTATGGAAAGTTTGTTCCTTGGGGGACGGGGTGGGGGGGAATTAATACAACAGTACTTAAAAATCAGACATTTGAAATTGTTGGAGGGCCTCATGGAGCATCAAGTTGGGCATCGCCACAGAGTAGGCCCCTCAGCAGAGCTGTGACCCCCTTGGAAGCTGGTCACTGGTGATATTGCAGGGGATACCGCAGCCCCTACCAAGAGGTGCATTGGCTACAAAGTCCAACGACGTCCAATCCCCAGAAAAAAGCCCAAATCTGAGCTGGAACTCCATTTCCTTGGGTGCTATGCTGCAAGACCCAGCTAGGCTAACGCCACAGAGGGTTAGTGTTGGAGGGACAGAGGGCAGAGACAGGGAAGGGAGGAGAGGGGCCTCCTGAGGCAGAGCTGTGTATCACTCACCTCACGGCGGGCTGGCCCAGGCGCTCGCAGCATGGTGAACGTCCTCCTCAGCCTTCGACGCCATCCGCCACGCTGCACACCAGCCCTCCCCCGGCATGGCAAGGGGGGCACCCCATGTTCCCGCCACAGCCACCATCTGCACAGTCTCCACCCAAGCACCAGGGGCTTATTCCACCCCAATGCTTTGTATTTTTGGGGCTGGCACGGACCCCTGAGAGGAGCTGAGCCGAGGTGAAGCAACCTGAGGCAGAGAAGCCTCAAGAGCCTCCTTTTCTCCTCAGGCAGCCCGCCCCCCCCCGAGCGCCCAGCGGTCAGGGCTGATCAGGGCCGCTAGGGGGCGCTCGGGCCCGCCCGCCGCGCGAGGGCCTCTCCTCAAGGCCAAGCCCCATTTTCATGGCGATGTGAGGGCCTTGGAGGGGCCCTTGAACCCCCACAGCCAACACCCTGCAGGATCAGGGGATCAGGCCCAGTCAGCATGGGTTCATGAAGGGAAGGTCTTGCCTAACCAACCTGATTTCCTTCTACGACCAGGTGACCCACATGGTAGATGAGGGAAAGGCTGTGGATGTTGTATACCTGGACTTCAGCAAAGCCTTCGACACAG